ATGTATTCATTAAACTGAAAGTAGTCCGAGAGCTCATGGGATGTAGCGAACTTGCCGCTCTCACACAGTGGGTGAAAGAAATGACACTGATACTATGTGCTCTAATGTCGTAGTAACGGTGCACTCAAGTAAAGCTCCATCCTTGTTCAAAGTACACTGTATCACTATACACTGCTGTACCATATCGGTCCCAAACGTACATTTTGTATACCGTTACCCCCTTAGCTCCTACAGCTTTGCACAAGTTAGATTTAATACTTTTTAGGACTTTTTAATGCCACTCGGAATGAAGTGTAGAGCCGACTTTACAACAACCAAAACTGAAAAAAACAACAAAAAACATAAACCGACAGCTGTTACTAAGGGTTGATAACAATTTTGCCCAAATGTGTATTGTAACGTAAGACATAAGACTTTTTTGTCTTGTGGTGAAGATGAGCTGTTTGTTGGATATAGAATGTTATCACCTAATCATAATATCCCGTAAGACATTTGAGTAAAATTCTGTCATAATGTGAGGTCACAGTAACATTGACTTTTAACCTTCAAATTCTAATCAGTTCATTGCTAAGTCCAGGTGAACATTTCAACCAAATTTGAAGAAATCCCCTCAAGGTGTTCTTTAGACACTGCGTTCAAGAGAATGAGACGGACGCAAGGTCACATTGACCTTGACCTTTGACCACCAAAATTAAATCAGTTAAGTCCAAGTGAATGTTTGTTCCAACTTTGAAAAAAAATAAATCCCTCAAGGTGTTCTTGTGATATTGCATTCACATGAATAGGATGGACGGAAGGCTGGACAGACAGACAACCTAAAAGCATAATGCCTCTGGCTACGGCCATAAACTTTATTTTCCTCATACTGTCAGTGCTGGAACACCTGGATTCACCCTCTGTCTGAAACACTATTTTAGCACCTTTCTTTTTAAGCCCCATCTCCATAAAAAGCTCAGTCTGTTCTGACTGGTCAGCGGCTCTGTCTTGTGCATCTTGGCATCTCTACACTGTCATAGCAGCTGGGAAATTACTGTAATGGAGCATACTGGCACTTTCTACCTTATAAAAATTCACCAATTAAAGCTTCAAAACACAACTGGATATGTTCCAGTGGGTATATGAGCCGAAATCAGGGAAAAATAGTAACATCAGAAACCAAAATTACAGGTTTCCCTGAAGTTAGCATGTAGCTACATGTAGCAGTGTAGGCTACGTAATGTAAATACTTGCGGTAACATGCCTGGAGCAGATGAAGCCTGGGGTTTTTGCTCACAGGAATTACTTTTACATATATTCACCTCATTATTTGAAACTTTGTTCACGTTTAATACAGACATCTAACATTATAACATTATTTATATGAGAGAAAATAAGGAAAAGCATAACAGGTCCCCTTTAAAATGTGCCAGAGGTGTGTTCAAGTGTGTTGCTCTCACCATATGGTGAAAACTGCGTGCAAGGCAGTCATTGTGCCTTTCATTTTATTAGATTTGTACAACCAAATTTCAGTATTCATCCTTTTCATACCTATATAGCCATTAATTTCTCATATGTCTGCATCAACACAAAGTGAATTAATGGGGGAAAAAATGCTTGTTTTGTTCAACCTCTGTGATGAATGTGCACACCATTTTCACCCTGTCAAAACATTATACTTGCTTTACACGCATTATCTAAACCAACAATTAGTGCGCTTTTAGATAGATGGCCTTGTTTTGCTGAAGGGAGCAGACTACACAACAAAAACCTCTTACAACATTAGCGCGTCATTGTGGCTCTCAGTAATATTTAATGATAAAAAAAAGATGCTTTATTTCATCTAAAAGCCAAGTTTGTGATACTTTTAATGATGGCTTGTCCGTTATTGTGTGAATCACAGAGGAAAATAAAACTGAAATCACTGCTAGGTGCTTATAGAGGGGCTGATAGGGGACGCATTAATTAAAGGCACGCATACACACTTTCACACCTCTGCGCTGTCCAGGCGGTCATAAGGGTCACGCAGGTGGCACAAAGAAATATGAAGAGTAATTAGGGAGTGTAAATATCACAAGTTCTGCCCGCTGCTGTAATTAAAAGGAACAGAAGGAGATCCAATTGCAGAATAATCTGTCTTAGATAAAAATAGTTCCTGGCGGAGGTGTGAATGAATGTGAATATCACAGCTGTCATGTCAGAATGAAAAAAAGAATTTACTAAGAGGCACATGACTGTGATAAGATATCTCTCTCTTCTTGAACTGAGTATCTACATGTCATTTATATGTTCATAGATGCCAACAGTTAATTATACAGTCTGAGCTGAAATTAAAACAAATCCTCATATGGATGATACTCAGCTCTCAGTTATTCTGGTTGCTTTCCTGCTCAGAAACCCATCTATTGTTTCATGGTGTGACTGAACCAAGCCTGAATCACTGTTTATCAAAGAAAAGTCTGTTTCTTTACAGTTTGGAGCACACATCTGTTCCCAGAGATTTTCACAGCACTTCCTGATCTATGTGTTGTGCTGCTGTGTTTGAATCAGCCCCAGCTGGGTCTTTGTGATTGCCCAAGGGGGATCTGGAGCCAGAGATGACAATTATATTGAGGGAAGACGTTATCATTTCACCACCCAGACAATGAATTAACCCCTGCTGAAAGGGCACATTTTATCTTTTCATGCTGTAGAGTGTGAGGAAGATTTGCCTTCCTCATCCAAGTTACTTGGCGGTAGTTTTTACCAATCTGCTTCCAGAGTTTAAAACAAGGAGTGTATATAAAGATAGACAATGTGTCTCCACTTCCTCCCACTGTAGAATTATGAAGCCAAAAATCCTGAATACAGCCGCCACTATCTTGTGCTGGTTATGTCATTTGGAGCCAGAGTCTGCACAGTAATGATCACTGTAGTACTGAGTTCCACCCGTCCAACCAAACGTGAACGGCGCTGTTCACGTTTGTTTGCGAGCACACTGACCAGCACATACAGCTGTGAATCATGACATCTGACCCTCTTTTTATAGTATCAAATAAATAGTGATTACCAAACTATCAGGAAAACAGAATTTCTGCGGTTTTATGCCTCCATGAACCAATCATATTGCAAGAACATGGATTCTTCACATGCAGCAGCACAGAAGATAATCTATATATTATAGTCTATACACTCAGCAGTTTCAAGGCTGACACCCAAAATTAGTGTCACCAATTCAGTATCTAACAAAATGTCTTCCCTTCTGTTCCTGAGTTATGATGCTGAGAAATGGCCAGAAAAGTATTTTTGCATAACCTTGATGTCACAGTAAAGCTGACCTTTGACCTTTTGGATAATTCATTATTTTATCTTAGGAGACATCTGTGTGAAATTTTGTTATAAATAGCTAAGTAATTCCTGAGTTATGGCAAAAATGTGTTTTGTGAGGTCACAGTGATCTTGACCTTTGACCATCAAATTCTAAGCAGCTCATTGTTGAGTCCAAGTGGACGTTTTTGCCAAAGCTGAAGATATTCCCTCAAGGTGTTCCTAAGGTACTGCATTCAAGAGAATGAAACAGATGAGGTCACTTTGAACTTGACCTTTGACAACCAAATTCTGATTGGTTCATCCTTGACTCAAAGTGGATGTTTGTGCCAAATTTGACAAAAATCACCTTAAGGTGTTTTTGAGATATCGCATTCACGAGAGTGAGACGGACGCAAGTTCACGGTGACCTTGACCTTGGAACTTTGACCACCAGAATCTAATCAGTTTATCCTTGAGTCCAAGTCAAAGTTTGTGCCAAATCTGAAAAAAAAATCCCTCAAGGCATTCTTGCGATATTGTGTTCACAAGAATAAGACAGATGAGTTCATTATGACCTTGACCTTTGACCAATGACCACCTGAAAGGAATCAGTTCATTGTTAAGTTTGTGCTTAAGTTGAAGAAATTCCCTCAAAGCATTCTTGAGATATTGCCAGGATGGAGGCTTAATGAACACTTGAACACACATCCGCTGCATAAGAACTATCTAAAATGTCAGAAATCATCTTTAGAAAAAAAAAAATTGACGTGGAGTGTGATTTTTTTTGTTCAGCTCTTGTCCACTGTCCCAATATGGGGCAGGATTTATCACCTGTACTGCAGCTGGCCACCATGGGGCGATCAAGATGTTTGGCCTTTTTTTGGGTTGAGCTGTTGTGTCTTCCATCTTTATTATACAGTTTATAGTTTGAAATACGAGAGAGCTACGTGGAGCTCGGCTCCTCTGGAAAAGAAATGGGCTCCCCAGGAAGCCTCATTTGAGAAATTTAGGAGCTCTAAAATATATTCTTTGCTTCCACAGTTTATTTTTGTATATACATTTTTTTTTTCAGTTCATTTAGGTTCCTAAAACTCACAATAGACTACCAGTAAGCACTTGTCAATATGCTTGTGCATTTGTGCAACAAGAAAAAAACAAAAAACGATAATTTGTGTCTAGTGAAGAAAGTAACACAAACCATTGCCTGTCCACTGTGCATCAGTCTTTTTTATTGTCCAGCCGAGAGTGATTAGAAGAACATTTCAACTTTGTCCCAGGCTAAATTTTCTTTGCATGAATTGAAATGTTTTTTTTTTTTTACATGTAGGCTGGCACAATTAAGTGTATGCATGTGCATTTGTACAGTATACTACCCTCCCACCCTCTCCCAAAAGCCATGGTGTAACTCAAACACTGCCTCCACACGTCTACATCCACATATCTGCTGTAATTTATGGAGCCTTGAAAGTCCTGAAAGGTCACACATTTTCTTTTGTGTGTACAAGTTATTATCTTGTGGGAGCACATTATTATCTTGTGAGTTAGCCTACGATGTTGGGCACAAGAGATACCAACATATCACTTTTGGGACTTCAAGGGGTCTGCAGTAATTGTATAATGTAATACCAAGTCAGTTTCTTTCTATCTGTTATCACTGTCTCTTCTTTGTATATTCTCTCCTGTATTCTTGCTGTATAACAGATCTATTCTTCCATTCCTCCATCATGTTTTTGTACCTGTAACAGAAGTCTCTCATCTCCAATGATGGCGGCTTTCCTCCAGTCGATGACCTCAGAGAAGGGAAGCTCCCAGCCGTTACTCAAAATAACCGGGATACAAGCCGCCTGTTAGGAAAAACAGAAAAGACAGAAAAAGAAATCATTCTTTTTGGGAGTTGAATTAATGGTAGCGGACAGTGAGTGATCTTTACATTCACAATAAGTAGTCAAACATCATCAGTGTTCACATTAATAAAACTATTTTTAGAGATTGATTGAGATACTTTTCAAAGTATTGGGTGTTATTGTTAGTTTGCACCAACTTATGTATCATGTTTTTCTGTCAGAGGAATGTTTTGTCTCAAAGAAGAAATAAAATGTTCTCTGTTGACAAGTTTTCACAGCTTGACAGAGAGGCAGAAAAATCCCACTTACACATAAAGTCTCTCCAGAAGTTTAAAGCCGAGCACTGGGAGGGATCTATTTTTCCCTCCACTGAGGGATTTATCCTCTAGGTGCTTTCTCTCTGATGAGACCCTTTCAACATGTTCCAAGTGAGAGTTTTGCAGAAACAAATGGAGTTGCCAGAAAGATTAAGGACAAAATAAAGTGTATTTATTTATTTTCCCCACACGCATCAATATTTAGAGGATTCATTAATGTGACTTAATTCATCAGGAGCTCTTTTCATTTCCCACCGGAGCTCTCTGTGTTGCTGTAAAGTCATTTTATGATGGGGCTCTTGAAAGTGTTCATCATTTGTGGTTAATGGATAGGAGTTGATTGTGCACTCTGCTGCACTATTAAACTGTGTAATTATTAAACTGGAAAATATGCTGTTTTCTGGATAATTTCTTTCACTTTACATATTTTACGCCTCATCTATAAGCCTGTGGTGTACTTTCATTGTAGTTCAGTTGAAATTATAGAACAGATATTAAATTAATGTTAATGGGAATTAGCCAAAGCCAGTTTCTTATCTGAGAAAGCTGGTTTAATGAAAAATACTTTATTCTTTCTGCAGAGTTGATATTGCTGAATGGTAAAAGTGTATATAAAATGGAAAGTGGGCAAGTTTTACTTCTTTTTTAACCCTTAAATGGTGAGAATGGGGAACATAAGCATGCATAAGGACATTAGAAATTAATGTGCTTTAATTTGTGTATGAACAGACATATGAAAAACACATGAATTTGGTGTTTGGGGTCCTCCCTCAAGAATTTTTGAGCATTAAACATTTCCGTCATTTTGGTGATTTTCTTTGCATCAGTTTTTCCCTTTTCTGCATCAGTTTAAGGTGGAAATGTGTTTAATTTCATCGTAGTAATATCCATTGCATCCCCACACAAATTTACACCCATGGGCAGGCTCATTTAGCTGTCAGTGTCCTTAAACCATTTCTCAGAATTACTTGGCTCTATGCTCAACTCAGATTTCACTTTTCTCCACTCAAATCGCTCACAACTGGCTCGGTTTTCTTTTGTAAGTACTTTGTAAACTCCATTGTCAAGCTCACTGTAGCCAATTTTTGACAATAAATAGTGTGTACATCGAATGCACAGATGGACTCTGGGTCTGGCATGCTTCAAGTCACGGTGTGAGTGGTACCAGAGTGGAACTGGAGCGGGGTGGAGCGGTAGATCTTGTGATTCTACAGCGTCTTAAGAAAATCGGCTGTGCGCTCTATCCAAAGTCCTTTTGCCCATGCTCACTATTTGCTCTGCTCAAATGCTCTGGTATCTATTACATCTATTTATTTGAAAAAAAAAAGGTCTGTTGTGTTTGTTTTAATATTTTAATATGACTGTGATATAACTTGTTATAGCCTATTTAATATATTGCTATTTAAGTATATGTTACATGTAACATGTTTTATAGTTTGTGACAATGCTCTTGGCAAGGACACTCCTGTAAATACGATGTCTAATCTCAGTGAGGTCCTATGTCATTTAATAAAGTTGCATTTTTATTATTAATATTATTGTATTTGTCAACAACTATAGCTCCCCATTTGCTCTGGTGACTCATCATATATCATTGTTTGTGATTACAGCTTTGTTTTACTGTTATCACACAACCATATGTAAAAGTCATATGTCTTCTTATGTGAAACGCCCTAAAAAAAAAACCCTAATAAATATAAAATGTGTTTCACATGTTACACCTAATGTGAAACTGAAAATTTATTAATCTATACAAATATCTCTCTAAAATGTAAATATAAATGAAATATCTGAAAATTATATTTGAATTTACCAATTTAGAAACCGCATGCACTGAAATGAGTTTTTCATACAGTATGTGATTAATACATTTAACATATAATAAAAGCAGTCATAGTTGCTGACAAAAGCCCTGTTTCCACCAAGCAGTACGGTACAGGGGCGTCGGTAGCTTAGTGGTAAAGCAGGCATGTACAAGGCTGTTGCCGCAGTGGCTCGGGTTTGACTCCAGCCTGTGGCCCTTTGCTGCATGTCACTCCCTCTCTCTCTCCCCCCTTTCATGCTTGACTGTCCCATCGATTAAAGGCAAAATGCCCCAAAAAATATATATATGTATATTTATTAAAAAAAAAAAAAAAAAAAAAAAAAAAAAAGCAGTACGGTTCAGCTCAGTTCGGGACGCTTTTTCGCCGTTTCGACTGTGAAAAGTAGTGGATGGTACCAATGGAACGGTTCCATCCCCATTTTTGGTCCCCCCTCTGTTGGGGTACCTAGCACACAGATCTGGTACTAAAAGGTGGAGCTGTGAACACTGCAGTCCGTTGATTGGTCAATAGAGGACGGTCACTCTGCTCAGGGCTGAGTTGTGGCTGGTTTTGAGGCTTATTAACCACTGTTCATACCGCAGCTGGAGTCTGAGAAAAATAATACACTGGGCCGACTGCCGGCGACTTTTAAGGTGGAACATTTACTTGTAATGTTGCTCAATGCATGAAGTGACGATGTGAATCTATCAGCACACCTTAAATTTCACTGTGACAACTTTTACTATTCCATATGTTTTTATTGTCTCTCTTGGATGACATACACTTTTAGTAATGAGTTGATCTGTAATCATTTAAAAATATATGAACTGCATCTCAGAGGGAAAAGAAAGCATCATGGATCGTTGTTCCTGTGGGCTCTGGCAACACTAAACCCCTGAGCTTGCCTGAGAAGGACTAAATGCACAAACCCATTATTTTAAATATCCCATGGAGAGAGACTCTCACTGCAGCCTGTTTTATTTTGCCTCGTTCTGTGGACAATAAATGAGGTGCAGACTGATAAAGGAGGAACTACAGTGAGTGCTGGGCAGAGCAGTGAGTGACAACAACCCCGACCACATTTAAGGGTCCTGTTTGCCATGGAAACGCTGGAGTCTAGATACCATGTCTGAAGGGTTATTGTTGGTTCCAAAGGTGCCATACCGAAAGTGTTTGGTGGTAACGGGGCTAAATACATCAATACCTCAAATTACATTATATTTGTGAATAGCACCATCCATTAATGGTTCATATGCTGCTTATAAATGCTAATAATAAGAGTTATTCATAAAAGACTGTCAGGACTTATGGAGGGTGATCATTGTCAGGGTTTGATTCCAGGATGTCACATGTTAAATGTCTTCGCTTTAATGCCATACAGTATGGTATGATTCGTCTGTGTAGTCTCAAGTAGCGGAGCAGTGTCAGAGACGAGTGAAAAAAAAAAAAAAAGAAAAGAAAAAAATTCAATAAGTCTGGTATTTTCATTTAAAGTTCAAGTTCGACTGGATTCTCAATCAAGTGAAGCTGAGAGATTAAAGGAGATTCACAAAATGCCGAGTGCATGATCAGTGACCTGTCGACGCAGATTCTCGCCGCTTTGATTAGTCTGGCTCCGTGAGACGGCTTTTTTCTTTTCTTGTCTTTTTCTCACTGTCATCCTCTCGCATGTCTTTGTTTTTCTGCCCTCCGAATACTGATGATTAGTTTTACCTCGGCACGCTTCTTTCCCTCTGTTTTTTTCCCCTTCTCTTTCCTCTTATCCTGATTTGCCGAGAAAGCCATTAAAATAATTGGCATGCATTTAAGACAAACATTTAATTAAGTATTGCCCATTTTTTCTGCCAATCATTCTAATGCTTTGTGCATCTTCCCTTAAAAACGGCCAACCTTTTGTAATGTCACCACAAAGTTCAGCCTCTACTTGCTCATTACTTGTGACTGAAAACAGAATATACGGTGCCACAGAGTGCCACATGCAGAGAGGTTAGTGAAGCATATGTCTTGTTTGTTGCTTCTCTTCATCTTCAGTCTGGCACATTAACATCATATTGATGTGTATTAAAGTGTGTCATAAATATATAAAGTGCAATAAAGTTATGTAAAGTAACTTCTGTAATCAAACATGTCGAATGACTCATTTTACGACATCTACTCACTCTTCTACTTCAACAGCTACAAAGTGAAATCAGTTTAATGTAAAAAAATATTCAATAACACCAAAGTACTGAGTAAAAACACGTATACAAATCCTCCCAGCTCTTCCTCTAGACGAGTCCCGAAGGTGGAAGCAAGCTCAACCTGTTTATTCCTAAACTTGAGCGTGCAGCGTGTCCTCAGCAGAATAAATAATTGGAAAGTGAGAAAAAACAACAGCAAGGTAAACAAGACAGCTGGAGGCAGACACGGGGCAGAGTCAGATACTTAATGTCAAAACAACACAGAGACAGATAGAAACAAGGTGCTAATGAAAGATGAACACATCTGCGGTCTGAGGACACTTCTCTTCTCTGCCGTGTATCTACAGAAGCAGGCCTTTTTCCATGGCAGGGAGATGACAGATTGTCAATAGTAATAAGATCAACTGTTGCTAAGAGGAGGACGAGGAACTCTTTGATTTGTTGAAGTGCCCAGCTGGAGCTCCACAGGCTGTCTGACAAGCCTATACCAGTAATGAGAATAACAGTCATGGGAAATCTAAGGAGTTGCTTTAGTTTTTACTGTCATGTTCTTCGCATTGTCTCTGGGAAGTATTTGATGGTTTGAGAAGTTTTTATCGTTAAACTACACACGTATTACATTTGGCAGGTTTCAAATTTTGACTGATATCTTTAATATCCCAGTATCTTTAAATTTGACTGTTTTTAGGCACGAAATACATAAACATAATAAAGGGTTAAATGATTTCCACCACCCAGGTTTACACTGTGAAAGTGTGAAGAAATTTGCATCGCAGCATCATTTAGACTTTCAATTTGGGAGATAAGAACTACATATATAACACTTAACAGTGACAGTAGTATGTCACTGCTGGAAACTGGTGCTACTGTACATGACCACAAAAAAACAAAAAAAAAATTGAAAAGACAGGGAACTGTGTACAACTGAATTGTGGAGTTAGACAATTAAACTGTTTTTCACCATCTCTGTGTCCAGGATTTTTTGGGCGGGCCTAAAAGCATTCTCAATGAAGCACTTGAGCCATCCTTCACACAACTCCTCCTCTTCCTTATAACTGACACTAGAGTGTACAGTATCAGTGTCGTTTCTTTTGCCAAAACATCACTGACACACAGTGTCAGTTTTGCTTTGTCCCACAAGCTCCCCGAGCTCTTTTAGTCTAATAAATATGGATAAACATCTCTGTGAAACATCACAATAATTTTATTTTCTATATAGCACCAAGTCACAACAGAAGTCATTTAAGGTCACCTTTCCTATAAAACAGGTCTATTCCTTGTCCTTTTATTAAACAAATTAAATAGCCTCATGTTGTTTATCTCATTTACACCACAGCATGTCATTTTTGTCCATACATGGTCTCACCTTTACATTCTCTTCTGCTCTCTGTATTGCGCACGGCTGAGTTCCTTTTAGTTTAAACAGACCGAGGTGCCCTTCCGCCACGGGAGGGGCTGTTGGATACTTGTGGGAGGAGTTGTTGATGACTCCGCACGTGCGAGGCACTGGCGGTGGATAAACAGCAAACAGCTGATAGCAGGAATTAGCGAGCAGCTAGTAGCAAGAGGGAAACGCAAACCTGACAGACACTGTAAAGATGAGCAACTGAGGAGTCAAGGGATTGTGCGCTCTCCTTGTCCTCGCAAACAAAGAGGCCATTAACCGGCAGATGATGGGGACGGTGAAGGATGGGCCGACTTACGAGAGAACTGCCGAAGGACTGACCAGCCGCGGCTTCCCTCCTATGTCACTGTTTACGTCACATGCTGAGCTACACGTTTTGTTACTTGCTCACGTCCCCCATTGCCCTGAAAAGGTGCATTCTGTATAAACAAAAGTAGGTAGGCAGCATTTTGCTGCACTCCCTGATTTTGTTTTTATACTGCCAATGCTGAAAGAAGACTGATTGAGCTTTCCTGCAAATTTGCACAACTCCTATCTAAAAAGGGCTAGTCTCTCTGACCAAATCTGCCACCTGGCCCACCAGCAGTCATTGCTTACTGCTTTTAGTGAATGCTTTTAGTGAATGCTTTTGTGCTAACATTAGCTGCTGCTAGTTGTTTTCATCCACCACTATCTCTCGCCATTGCCCTTATAATTCACAATGAAACCAAAGTATCTCCAAACACAAGACCTTTAGGTTATTGAAGGATCCTCTAGACTAGTATTGGCGTTACTAACCATCTTGCAATGAGCTAGCTTAGCATAACAACCTCCCAGTGTGTCTCACTGGAGTAGAATGTTCTGGTTTGGGGGATGGGAGGGAAAGACAGCATGCTGCATGTTGATTTGCAATGCGTACCGAAAAGAAAACCTCATACCAAATGGTTCAATACCAATATGTGTGTTGCTACACCCCTAGTATGTAGACAGGGCTCAGTGGAAAGTCCTGCTGACAAAGTTAACTTTGTTTTGAGACTTCCCTGTGCTCTGCCTGAATTTCTTTTTCTTATTCTGCTTTGCTTAAGATGGTTTTTGGTGCAGTGTGCAGGGGAGGTTGGTACTTTATAAAAAGGTAGCAACCAAGTGGCAAACCAAAAGCAGGATGTATTCAAGAGAAGGCAACAAAAATCAGCAACTAAGAGCACAAAAAAACGCAGATATAGTGAATATGTGGGTGGCTTTCACTTTCACTTTTGCTTGCAATTGATTTTACCAACAGTAACCGACAATTCTTGCATTGTATACCTTTAAGGCATTAGTATATTGAAAACAAAGTGCATGCCAGACTGTCCAACAGCATTAGAAACACATGCTCATTAAACACATGGCACAACCTAATTCATTTCAACCACACTAAACCCTTTACTCTCACGAACTGACCTGTAGTATATTCACATGTTGTATGCACATGGACCAATATTCACTATGCAATCACATAATCCACAGCAGCACTAACACATATAATGTATAAACACACACACCTGCAGAGCCTCGAGGAACCGGAAGGATCCAAGACGTCGGCCCCGGGGCACCAGGCAGAAACTGGAGTTATGAAGCAGCTCCTGGTAGTCAAACCTACACAAACACAAATAAAAAATCAGGTTAGAGTAAAATCTCAGCAAGCAAAACAGGAGACAGTAAGATTTTCTCCTAGTGTACAAACTCACTTAATGGGCTACGAAAGGACACACTATGAAGAGAAAAAAAGTCTATAAACAATTTAATTCAATTAAAGACAAGAGAAAGACAGGATGGCAGCGAGGGGAAGAGCTGTGGATAATCAAACTTCTAAGAAAGCACTTGTGAGCTTTTATGCCCTTGTGTAATTGCTTAGAATCCAAAAAGGCATTTTTAGGACACTCTCCAGGTGACAATAAAGCCTAAAGAGCTGAGAGAAACAAAGGCCAAAGTGAAAAATGATTGTTTAAGCATGAATCTGTTTCCATTTCCTCAGTATCCGCACACAGATATTTCAAAGAACAATCCAAAGCAGCTTACTCCTAAAATGGCTAGCAGAGACTTTTTCAAGGACTCCGTCTCTTTCATAAAATGTGTGTCTGTCGAAGGCAGAGAGGTAGCTTCAGCACATCAAAAGATACACGGAGGATAAATAATGAAATATGCTGGAGTGGGAAAAAAAAGCAGCTGTTGTATAATCAAACACCAGTGGCCCTTAACATATTTCATCTGATCAGGATATGTGAGGAGAGAATCCTCCGCACAGGGTTACCTTTAGTGAAGGTTTTACTTAAATATTGATCTGACAGCATGTAGCATCTTGTCCATCAGGCGAGATCAATGCGAGTTTTTGATGGCCAATACTAATATTTTACTCCTAAAATTCTTTTAGTGCGAGCTAGCCGCCCTAAGGGCAGGGTGAGGCGGGTATTACCGAGGGGTTATCCCAATTTTGAGTGATGCTTGACTGTAGAGTTTTAAGGAATCCATCCAAACAGTATTTAAAGCATCAAACACTGACTTCTTGGACAGCAGCTTGGATTTACAGCAGTAACAATGGATTTCAGTGGTGATGGATTCATTTTCTAACCTGTTATCCCTGTCCTCCCCGATATTTCCTGCCATGCTATAGAGAACTCCAGAACTTCAAAGGGTAACACTTTGCCATAAGGTACACAAAATTAGAGTAGTAACCAGTGTTGGGTAAGGGTTACTTTAAAAGTAATCAAAGTACTTTACTGCGTTACTTTTCACACACTCAGGTATGTGACAATCAGTGGAACTTTACCTTTACCTTTACTTTTTTTAAAAAAGTAACCAGTTACTTTACTGCATTACTCCCTGAGTAAAGTAACTCAAGTACTTTTAAAGTACTTCTAATGTTACTCCCTGAGAAAAGTAACTCAAGCACTTTTAAAGTACTTTTGAGTATTCTACATTTCCTATTGGCCAATGAACCACAGGGCGCTAAGCCTACATTTTTTTGTCTCCAAAATTAAAGTTATGGACCACTTGCCCTTCACTGAGATCCAATTCTCCCATCACAGCCGTCACTGTGACCAGTAGAAACACAGAACTATCTGCTGCCGTAGACAACTGTATGACAACAACACCCCAGCGTTTTTAATATTTCCTCTAGGGATGTTACCACACAGAGTAAAAGGGGAAATGATGGTGTGAAACAGCAAAGGCACTTTGTCAACCCGCTGAGTTAACGTTACTGTCATTAGCATCAAGCTAGCAAACAATGGTACATCCTCACGGTCGGACATAAGTAATAACATTAACAAATAGTGGCGGGGCTTTTACTCACCACAACTGCAGAGGCTCCCAGCTTCATTTGAAACAGACTACATTATAGACCGTCCGTTATTTATTAATCCCTCTGTGTGTTTATATATTTACTTTTTGGCTTTATAAAGGTACCACATTGTGCCGTCATTTTAAACTCAACACTTCCTGATTTTCCTTCAAATTAAAAGCCCCTTATAACCTTGGTTGAGAGAATCCCTTCATTTTCTAAATAGGCTTTTATTGTGAAACATTTGTAGGAACTTGGTTGTGGAGGATTTGCCTACGGTACTTCACATGAAGCTCCTGCCATCTGCTGACGCTTTCAGGTGACTACTGTACAACAACATGTCGGCTGGCACATGAACAGACACAGTGACTCAAATAATAGTAAAAGGAATAAAAATAGGACAAGAATAACCCGATGACATCACACACTTCGTGAAAGACGACCGGGGATAATTGGTGTGTACCATCGTGTAGTGTGTCATTTTTGTAGGCCAAGTCATGGCACGTTTTTATAACTCCACAATCGTGTAATGTGACATAGTGACTTTCAGAACGGGCAGAAAAGTCATCTAGTGTGTACCAGGCATAACGCAAGTCCTCCTGAGTCTGAAATATGTCTGTCAGCGAGTCCAACTCCACCTATTTAGACTCCACCAATTTAGACAATGGCAGCATTTCTCCGACCACAAGCTCCGTGGCTTCTTTCAGACTGATAGGTTTAACATTATCTCCGTTATTAGAACCAAACAACAGCCATTGCTGTTTCGGAGCTGAAGGACCAGCGTTCTAAAAGTAACGGAAGTAACTAATGGCTTGTAGAAAATGTACTCAAGTATTTGATTACTCAAACAGCAAACTAACGCATTAGGTTACTCGTTACTGCAAAAAGTAATCAAAGTACTCTAATGCGTTACTTTGTAACGCGCTATACCCAACTCTGGTAGTTACTGAGGAACTAATGAAGAACTATTGAGTAGTTACTGAGGAACTAATGAGGAACTATTGAGGAACTATTGAGTAGTTACTGAGGAACTAATGAGGAACTATTGAGTAGAACTGAGGAACTAAGATACACAAAATTAGAGTAGTTACTGAGGAACTAATGAGGAACTATTGAGTAGAACTGAGGAACTAAGATACACAAAATTAGAGTAGTTACTGAGGAACTAAAGAGGAACGAATGAGGAACTAACGAGGAACTAATGAGGAACTAACTATTACTTAATCATTATCTACCCTTATTTGTACCCTAAAGTAAAGTGAGACATCAAAATGAGTAGGTAATGAGTACTGAATCATTACCTACTCATTAGTTACCCTTTTTGTGTAAGGTACACAAAAATTACAGTAGTTTCTGAGTTCCTCAGTAACTACTCTAATTTTGTGTACCTTAATTCCTCAGTAACTACTCATCAGTTTCTCATTAGTTCCTCAACTGTTCCTCATTAGCTCCTCAGTAACTACTCTAATTTTGTGTACCTTATTGTAAAGTGTTACCATCAAAGATGCACAAACTTTACTTTTACCTTATTCTTCTCTATAATAATAGCACTGCAGCATAGATGTGTGCTGTAGAGGTTGTCAAATCTGAGGTCGAAGTTCAATTTAGTTTGCCATCACCTCCAAAACCAGCCACTTTTGCTTGTTCAGCTGCCTGAGTTAGTGCCCAGCTATCTCCACTGAAAATACAACCTTGCTCTGTGTGATGCGTTTTACATGGGAAAGCCCTTGAATTCACTTTTCTGCCACAGATATGTGTGCTCAGTGTGTTTCTGATTCAGTGTGTTTCACAACGCAGCTAAATCCATGTCACCCTTTTGCCTCCTCATAGTTCTGAAGTTCCAGCAAGTTGCATGCCGCTTTCAGCAATTTGTTGGCGAAGTGATGATTGTATTGGAAACACTGAACATGGTGCCATGCCATTGTTCCAATAGCACAAAATTTCGACGCCCGATTAGTCTGAAAAATGTCCCACTGGACCGAGAGTCCATTTCTCCGATGGCCCTTTATCCTAAAAACAAACGCCAGTTACTCTGAAGTCCTGTTTCTCTGAAAAACACACTCCCTGCAGTTAGTGTCAGTTTCCCAGCAGCACTTGAGCCACAGATCGCAGGTGATTTTACCAATCGTCTGTGGTGTTCCTGAGCAGCGTTTGAGTCACTGATGCTGTTACTTTAATCCACCCTTTGCTGTGTTTCCCAGCGGCTTTTGAGCCATGGACCCCAGCTGTTTTTTTCCATCAACTTTTGTGCCACCAAACAGCCAGTTTTCAGCCAAAACATGATCTTATTCTTACCACAACCAAGTATTTTTGTGCCTAATCCCAACCACACATTCACAAATGTGTTGTTGACAAATCATGCAATCATTTTTTCTGACAATTGGGTTGTCTAACTGTAGGGAATGTGTATTTTCAAAGAAACGGGACATCAGAGCAATGGACATTTGTTTTTGGGATAATGGGCTGTCATGGAAATGGGCTCCCAGTCCAATAGGGCATCCTTTTGGATTAACATGGCTTCAGAATTTTGGGCTGTTGTAACAATGGATAGACCCTGAACACACACAGTCACTAAGAGAAAACTGCAGAAGTGGTTTAAGATGTTAGCGACAATTTGAAATTTATTTCATTTTCCCTGCCATTGGATTCCAGAGCATGTGCCGTGAAGTAAGGCTAAGAGCAGCCATTGTTATCAGCGAAGGATCAACCCTAACTCTGACCTTTCAAACCAAATAGAGGTGAAACTCAAAACATAGATTTTTACTGGAGTGAAGGGAACGAGCAAAATATCTAATGTGATGCTGGTTAGTTGCACAGCTGTAAAATCAGGTGTTCAGTCACTTGACCAGTTCGACACAATTTTGCCACCAAGGTTATAAACAACAGCAGCATATCTTCCAGAGGGCGCTGAGTCATCCTTCAGACTCATTGTTTTGTTTAAAAAAAAAAAAGCCAAAAATCAAAGGCGCTATATGGAAATGTTGCTGGAAACCCAAGTAGATCAAAATTGCCAATGCACAAAATGCTTCTCTGAAGTTAAAATACAAACGTTCATAAATGTCTGACAGCAGCCTTATATAAACTCTGTCTGCTCCACTCACATCTCAAACTTGGGGAGTTTTTCAACTAGCAAGTCACTTCTGTCAGTCCAAAGTCTGTGACTTTAAAGCTCTGGTGGCACACTCTGGTGTGTGTGTGTGTGTGTGCGTGCATGCATGCGTGCATGCGTGCATGTGTGTGTCTGTGAGAGAGAGTTGGTGTGTGTGTGTATGTGTGTGTACACATGCTCTCAGGGCTGGCCTGAGGAGATTTCAGA